ATTGTCAAAAAATCTATGCACACAAATTAACTAATGTTCATTTACATATACGATTGGGGTTCGGGTCCGAGTTGCGATGGATTTTTTAACGATTCTTGGGTTGAGGAGCTGCTTGAGGCTGCGGTTGGGGTGCTCGACAGCTGAGTTTAAAATCTTTAGCTCGTACGTGCATAGGTAATATCCCTGAAAAGTTTCAGCTTTCTACCTTGCCTGGTTCGCGAAATAGTTTCCCTCCAACATAATTTTTTGGAGGGCTCTAGGCGCGTATGAGGGAACATCTTGAAAAGGGAAGATGAAACACGGGGTAGGAACATATACCCAAAGTTCAGCCTCCCAGCTTTCTTGGTTGCTGAGCTGAAAGTCGATGATAAAATGAACTCGCCTTCGAACACACACACAGACAGCCTCTCCACAATATGCGTTTTTGCTGGCTGTAGCGCTGCTATAACGCTGCACATAGCGCTGCACAGCAAAAATGCATAAAGACCCGGACAGACACAAACACACATAAACGCGCGCACGCACCGTGGGTCGTCATAATATACGTTTTTGCATTTGCATATATGCAGAAACGCACAATGATATGGCTACCGGTTACACCAGTGACAAATCTGTGGTGTGTTAGGTTTAACTTCCACAGATGACTTCCAAATGTGCTAGAAGTAGTGGCACTGGCGAACAAAGAAAATGGCACAGTAACTATCCCAATGCGGAAAATAGGGGATTTCAGTCCTCAGAGAAATTTCCGAATTGCATTTCGATAAAACACGCGAGACCGATTTCCCTTCACTCAATCTATACAGTAGTTTCTGTCTGAAGGACAAGACTTCGGTATAAGCACAGTGCTACTAGCAGAGCTGACCAAAACACTCACTGAAGCAGGTGACAGCTACACTTACTTGATCATATTTAAGATAGAGACACTGTAATGCAATATCAACAAATGGATCCAGACGTTCAATATCTTCGTTTGATTCCGAATCAAAAGCTTTGCTTTTCAGCACCAAATACAGTTCGTGCAGG